TTTATATGGAAAGAACAAATCCAGTGAAGACATACGTGATCAATTTCAATAAAATAAGCAATCGTATTGGCTTGTTACAGTTCGCTCTAGTTCCCGGTCATGAGAAGCTCAAGTTACTGCGGAGCTTTCAGTCATTCAGAGCCACTCAAACACACAAATGACTGATCATCTAGTCTATCTCGTGAGGTCGTTTCTATTCTGAGGATGAGATAAGCTATTATCTAATAATCGCTGGATTATTAGGTGTTTGTCGCGGTAAGCTAGGTGGTTCTATTCATTCGTAAATGATGGCGCTCTACCGTCGTTCTTTCAACGTTTTCGGCCCACAACTTTCATCGCATCAGCGCCTTTCTTATCTGTTCAGTAATTCTTTCATCTGATAATGAGACAAAAAAAAATTCTCGTTGTGTTTTATCACTCGGGCGCTTAAGAATTTTTAGCTTCCAAAAAAAGGAACGCTAATTCATGTGCCCTAATGTTTAAATAAAGCATATTACACCGAATATTTGTGATATTCATATTTGTGATGTGATAATAATTGTGCCGTCGTGTTATCACTAAACAATGCACTAAACACATTTAGAACCCATATAATACCACTCTGATATAATCATTTAATGAGTTTACTTCTTTTGCATTCATCTCAGTGACGGCTTTGACCATTGCTGAGTCCACGTTCCGTCAGTAATGAAGCTGACGACTGACTTGATCGTGATGAGACGCTATGTCATCGTATAATGAATTCATATCATTGTTTCACATCGATTGAATGATTTTCACTGTTTATGATTTCACGAGAACATGTTGATGCGGCCTTGTTCGGTGAAAAGCGGGCGATTTTTGGTTGGTACATATTGACACAATATTCCTTCAAAACTTATTTATAAGACGCCTGCCTGCAATGCGGAGTTACCGTGCAATGATGTTTGTGATCAACTCGTGATTACTTGCTGAAAATTCGTGATTTACTATCTTTTTTCGTCATTTCCTCTTGTCACAATCTTTCTCGCTCGCTCGCTCGAGGAATAAAATGAATTCCTTCGATGCCACGGTTCATATAACTTTTACTAGCATACAATTATTGATCATTTACTTCAGTCTAAAAGGAAACACGTGTTTCAACAACTGTTTTGAAGTATCACTGAACTGTGTTGAAGTATCTGAACGAAAGCCTGCAGAGGTTGAATTCCATTCTTGAGTGGTCAGGTCGATATGATGTTTTGTTAACGCGCAAATCAGTAAATGATTCACATGCCTTTAATAGCTTTAATGCGATCTTTGTACAAATTCCTTCGCAAACAGAATCAAGCTTTAATAGCTTTAACAGCTTCTTCCTGTGAGCGGAAGTTGACAATATTGATACATCGAATGAAGTCGGATTAGATGGTGAATGAGGACAGTAGTGCCGTGTAGCATTTCAAATTGATATGGCAATGGACAATATCCTTCTTATCGCCTGAACACCTCTTCTTTAAATGAGGATGTACACGTGCAAATACTTCGAGAAGATGTCATTAGTTGAAATCCGAAGGAAGTAATAGTAAATTGCGACTGAACAATCGTATAAACTTGAAACGATCGGGGAATTTCGGGGACGCGGTCCCCCACAAATTTTGAGCCTACCGTATTTTTGGGGTCTCTGACTGCAAAATTCCGTTCCCGATTTTCTCCATTGGCAATTCTCTGCCCTCCCCCCNAGTGCTTATTCGTGCTCTCAGAATGCTTTTTGAGAACGTCCTGCATTAAATCCTCTGTATTTGCAGGGATCTTAGAAACTACGAGATGGTTGAAAGCAAAAACGCAAAGTGAGTGCAGTACATCGACTTTATACCTTTTACGTAATCAACCCATTGTATCAGCTTAAGCTCATGACTCAATTTTCGTGATTTTAAGGGTAAAAGTGGACCTCCATGAGACGGTTGAAAAACAACCATCAGAGTACGTTTCTTCATGTTAGTGCTTCTTAAAGCTTATCATTCAATTTTCGTGAATTTCAGGGAAGAAAAGGACGTCGATGTGATTGACGAGACGATGTTAGAGTATGAGGCTGATGACGAATCATCAGAGTATGTTTTTTTTTACATTTTTCTTTCAAACTGATTGTGTCAGGATTTTAGTTTTTGTTCCGTGTTCAAATCTGGTTGGTTGGACGAAATCGTAATATCAATTGACTTCAATCACTACCGTAACTGAAAAAGTCAAATTCAACTGATACACCAACGTACAGGTGCACGATTCCGTGAACCTAAAATGAGTTAAAATGTTTCATTGGCATGCGCATCCACCTCTTTAGTGAGATCAAAAATTGATATAAGCAGGAACAATAACATGACTGTTCATAGCAAACTGAATAAATTTGGTTACAGAGCACATCATTCAAATTTCTGATTTTTTTAGTGCACATTCGCAGCTGGATGTGATCGCTGAAGAGGACTCATCAGTGTACGTTGTTTCTTTATGCTATTGCTTCCTGACGCTTATCATTCAATATTTTGTTGAATTTCAGGGAGAAGGAGGAAGACGTCGATGTGCTGACTGAAAAGAAACCAACAGAGTATGTTTCTGAATTTTTTCTTTTCCATATTAGGGTGTTAGAAATTTAGTTTACGTTCCGCACTAAAACATTATTGGGTGAATGGAAGTGCAATTTCAACCGACTTCAATCATTATTGCAATTAAAAAATTCAAATTCAAATGATACGACAACGTGCAGCTGAACGAACCCCTAAACTGATAATGAGAAAAAGGCTATACTGACGCCGATATTTATCTGTGTAACTTCAAAAGGTTGATAAACACAAGAACAGTAGCATGGTTGTTCCGCATACTACAATAATTAAAATCATATAAAATATTATACATNATTTAATTTGCTTGTTTTTTAGGGCACAATCGGACCACGATAAGACGACTGAAGAGCATTCATCAGAGTAGGTTTCTTCATGCCACTGCTTCTGAAATCTTATCAGTCAACTTTCTTGAATTTCAGCGATGAAAATGGCTCCGATGTGGTGGATACAGAGAAAGCAGCAGAGTATGTTTCGAAATTTTTTGTTCTGAACATGATGGGTGAGGGGAGGCATAAATTGAGCTTTCGTTCCGTGCTGAGATTTCGCTAATCGTTGAACGAAACCACAACTTCAACGAGCATAACTCATCGATGTGACTGTAAAATTCAAATTTTTTCGATACATACATAAGAGCATGCGAATCAATGATGAGTAAAAACGTTTCACTGACATTTACACATCAATGTAATGAACAGTGAACACGATAAAGGTAAAGATGAATAAGAATAATGCTACAGCGAGGACGGTGTCGATAAATTCGAGCATGGACAAACACCGTGGCCTTCGATTTGGTTGAGTTATGTGGTGCAGATGTTGACTGGAATACAGTTCTCCATATACTTCACATCAATGTGGCCCTACTTCACTACCGTAAGATGTTGCTGTTTCGACGTAACAACTCTATCAGCTAACCAAAAAATAGGCATTCACATTGAGTTTGCCATCGCAGTACCTGTGTATATATGTGAGTTCGGACGGAAGATTTGGGAAAACGAGGACAAATACAGAACGTTTGACGCATTATGAAATCAGAACGTGTTGTCGCATTCGAAGTACGGTTGTTGCCAGCCGATGCATTGTACACAACCGTTCTTATCAATGTCTTCACTCAAAAACTGATAACTTTTTTCACAACACATTCCGTAGTGACCGTTTTATGAAGCCTCATAAATAATTACTTACTAGTCGTTTTTTNTGCCCCAATCAACTTTGTTAACCTCATTGCTACCAGTTTGTCAATAGAATTACTCATGCTGTTTGTTGTAACTAAGAAAAATACTATTACTTGTGGGTGGTGGCTATTGGGCAGCACGATACCTAAGGTTTAAGGCGTGAATGCACACAGTTGAGGTAATGCGCTTACGAAAAACACAACTAATCCACAATCGAAAGGATGCAAGCGAGATAAAATTCAATTGACAATAGCAATCGTTAATACCACTTTCTTTCTACTCTCAATTGAAGTTCGTCTCTTATTCAGTGTAACCTACCAAAGAGTGTCATTGTTTTCAGTTAGACCCGGAGGCAAATCTATCATTTTTCGGGTGGATAACGTCAGCATATAGTATAGGTCAAATGGCATCAAGTTGGGGTTTCGGCTACTGGAATCAGTTGACAATGAACGCCAGACAACCTGCATGCACTGGCCTGGCATTCATGGCGATTGGCAACATTCTTTACACATTCCTCGAAAACATACCGGTCGGTAGAAAGTGGTTCATGCTCGTCGCTCGACTTCTCGTCGGTTTCGGATCAGGTCCACTATCGCTACATATTTGCATATTTTCACTTTGTGCACGGAACAAGCACTGGAAAGTTTTGATGTGTGTGTGTGTGTGCTTTTGAAAGATTTCGAAAATGTTACAGGTTCATAAGGTTGACATTTTGGGTGGAATTGACACAAACAACGTCTCAAAAAAGCGCTTTT